ATTCCTTATATTGACTCAAGAAGAAAGAACTGATCTCAACAGACCCATTACAAGTGAACAGATTGTAACAGTAATTAAAAACCTCCAACAAAAAGTCATTGACCAGATGGCTTTACTAGGGAATTCTATCAAACATTTATAAAAGTATAGACCCCAATCCTACTTAAATAGAAGAGGAGGGAACACCTTTGAACTCATTCTATGAGGCAAGCATTACCCTGATACCAAAGCCAGAGAAGAACAAGAAAACTACAGATGCAAAAATACTTAACAAAATACTAGCAAACTGAATCCAAAAACATATTAAAAGGATTATACATCATGATCAGGTGGAATATACCTCAGGAATGCAAGGATGGTTTAATATTAGAATATCAATCAATGTAATTTTGTTAGGTGCCGTCAAGTTAGCTCAGACTCAAAGCAACCCTATGTACAACAGAACAAAACACTGCCCGGTCATGCACCATCATTGCTATGCTTAAGGCTCATCATTGCAGCCAATGCACAGCCAATGTCAAACCATCTCCTTGAGAGTCTTCCTCTTTTTCGCAGACCCTCTACTTTACCAAGCAGGATGTCCTTCTCCAAGGACTGGTCCCTCCTAGTAACATGTCCAAAGTACATAAGATGATGTCTCACCACCCTTGCTTCTAAGGAGTATTCTGGTTGTGCTTCTTCCAAGACAGATGTGTTCGTTCTTTTGGCAGTCCATGGTATATTCAATAGTCTTTGCCAACACCATAATTCAAAGGCATCAATTCTTCTTCGGTTTTCCTTATTCACTGCCCAGCTTTCACATGCGTATGAGGCAACTGAAAACACCATGGCTTGGTTCAGGTGCACCATAGTGCTCAAAGTGACATCTTTGCTTTTTAACACTTTAAAGAGGTCTTTTGCAGAAGATTTGCTCAATGCAATACATCGTTTGATTTCTTGACTGCTGCTTCCATGGGCGTTGCTTGTGGATCCAAGTAAAATGAAATCTTGACAACTTCAGTCTTTTCTTCATTTATCATGATGTTGCTTATTGGTCTGCTTGTGAGAATTTTTGTTTGCTTTATGTTGAGATGTAATCCATACTGAAGGCTGTAGTCTTTGATCTTCAGCAGTAAGTGCTTCAAGTCCTCTTCACTTTCCACAAGCAAGGTTGTGTTATCTGCATATCACAGGTTGTTAGTAAGTTTTCCACCAGTCCTGATGCTACATTCTTTTTCATATAGTCCAGCTTCTCAGATTATTTGCTCAGCATACAGACTGAATAAGTATGGTGAAAGGATACAACCCCGAAGCACGTCTTTCCTGATTTTAAACCACTAACTATCCCTTTGTTCTGTTCGAACGACTCCCTCTTGGTCTATGCATAGTTTCCTCATGAGCACAATTAAGTGTTCTGAAATTCCCATTCTTCACAATGTTATCCATAATTTGTTATGATCCAGGCAAATGCTTTTGCACAGTCAAAATCAATGTAATATACCATATTAACAGAATTAGGGAAAAGAGCCCATAATCATCTTAATCGATGCAGAAGAGGCATTTGACAAAATTCAACACCCTTTCACTGTAAAAACACTCAACAAGATAGAAATAGAAAAGGGAAATCTCTCAATTTTATAAAGGCCATTTATGAAAAACCTGCAGCCAACATCATACTCAATGGAGAAAGACTGATAGCACACTCTCTCTTAATGACAGGTAAGAGGGCACCACTGTAGCATAGAACCCTTTTGACTATACACACCAACAAAGTTTAGCAGTTTTCTGGCTCTTTCTTGAATTTGCTTTCATTTTTAGGGTATATCCTCTAGTAGCTCTCTAGAATTGTGTGTGGGAAGTAAAATTTTGGGGGACATTGCATGTATGCAGATGTCTTTATTTTACCCTCACTAAATGGAGTTTGGGAACAGTGGTGGTTCAGTGGCAGAATTCTTAATATCCACGCAGGAGACCAGGGTTCAATCTCTAGCCAATGCACTTCATAAGCTGCCACAACCTTTCTGTCAGTGGAGGCTTACATGTTGCTATGATGCAGATCAGGTTTCAGAGAATCACCCAGATTAAGATGGACTAACAATAAAAGCCTGGTGATCTACTTCCAAAAATAAATCAATGAAAATTGTATGGATCACAATAGTCCAATCCAAAACCAAACATGAGGATGACACAAGGACTGGGCAGTGTTTAATTCTGTTGTGCATGAGGTCACCATGAGTTGAGGGCTGAGTTGATGGCAGTGAAAAACACAAATGGAGTTTGTTTGAGTGTAAAATTCTAAATTGTGAATTAAAACGGAATTCCAAAATCTGTTCAAGTAATCCAGACACAGGAGACCTGGTTGTGCAGTGGTTAGACACTTGGCTGCTAACTGAAAGGTCAGCAGTTGGAATCCACCAACCGTTCCACAGCAGAAGGATGTGGCATAAAGATTACAGCCCGGGAAACCTTATGGGGCGTTCTACTCTGTCTTATAGGGTCACTGTGAGTTGGAATCAACTCGATGGCAACAGGTGAATCCAGAGAAAGTCAGTTTAAAAAGAAATAAAAAAAGAACAAAGACAGCACAAAAAAATAAAATGGCAGGCTTAAGCCTTAACTACTCAGTAATAACAGTAAATGTAGATAATTTAAATATACCAATGAAAGACAGAAATTGACAGTGTGGATAAAAACACATGACCCATCTATATGCTGCCTAAAGAAACTCACTTCAAATACACCTACTCCCAAATTATCAACATGGTTAGTTAGGTTCCAAAGACCAGGTTGTTAGGCAAAAATTGGCATTCTGCAAAAACGGAGGATGACCACATCAGATCACAAAATGGAGAAGGACTACATCATTACATAACTGCCAAATTACATCATTCCATAACTGCCAAACCACTGAGAATCATGGCTCAGCCAAATCGACACATAACCTTAACCATCATAGCCAGCGTTACTCTCACCTCACACCTCAGCGTTCATTACTGCCAGATGTACGTCCTTAATTTGCAAAATAGTTGACCAGTAGATTTTTTACTATTGTCGTAAATACGAAATATTGGATAATGAGATAGACAATAAATGAAGAGTAGGTGTACAGTAATATACGTAAGTTGAATGTAAAAAGAAAGTAAATTTGACAACCTATAGGAAACAAACCAGTTCTTCAAAACGCGGAAACTACCACACCTATCCCAAAATAAAATAAAATGAACAATTTGCATTTTTAATTAATCTATTTATAAAATAGATCATCTGAACAGTCATATAACTGTTAAAGAAATTGAATTGGTAATTTTGAAATTTCCAATAAAGAAATATCTAAGCCCAGATGATTTCTCTGGAGATTCTAACAAATGTTTAAAGGATTAACATCTAGTCTACATAATCTTTTCCCAAAAATAGAAGAGGAAGGAAAACTTCCCAATTTATTCTATGAGGCCAGAATTATCATGATACAAAAATTATAAGACTGTATAGAAAAGGAAACACAAATTATACACAATCCCTTCCAGAATAATCAAGATAAAGCAATGCATTCCAACTCATTTTACGGGGCCAATATTACTCTGATTCAAAACCAAGAATAGTACCCCCTCAAAAAACATACATATACATATATATGTATACATATATATATATATTCTTCGTGATGATGGTGCAAAAACCCTTAACAAAATATTAGCAAATACAATTCAACAATATACAAAAAGAATTATATACTATCACCAAATGGGGTTTATTCAATAGTCAACTATCAATCAGTGTAATCTACCATATCAACAAGTTAAAGAAAAAAAAATCACATGATCATGTACATTGATTAAGAAAGAGTATTTGGCAAAATTCAACACTCATTCACGATAAAACCTCAAAACCTTTCTTCAGAGGTCAGTCCTTAGATAAGCATTGACATCCCACGAAAAAAAATTTTTTTATGGATTTTCTGTTTTTATTTTACAATAAATAGGTTTAACCACGAAAATTTTTGAGAAATACAGGCTCTCAGATCCCATCCCAGCTCTACTAATTCAGAATCTGAATTCATATGCAATTATTTTGTGTGAGAAGATAATAATAGAAAACCTGTTAATACACTTATAAAAGGGTTATTGTTGAATATACTGTTCTGACACTGTCTTGGTCATCTAGTGCTGCTATAACAGAAATACCACAAGTGGATGGCTTTAACAAAAAGAAATTTATTCTCTCACAGAACAGTAGGCTACAAGTGCAAATTCAGGGCATCAGCTCCAGGGGAAGGCTTTCTCTGTTGGCTCTGGAGGAAGGTCCCTGTCATCAATCTTCCCTTGTTCTAGGAGCTTCTCTGTGCAGGAACCTCAGGTCCAAAGGACACACACTGCTCCCAGCACTGCTTTCTTGGTGGTATGAGGTTCCCACGTCTCTCTGCTCACTTCTCTCTTTTATATCTCAAAAGAGACTGGCTTAAGACACTATCTAATTTTGTAGATCTCATCAATATAACTGCCACTAATCCATCTCATTACATCATAGTAATAGGATTTACAACACATAGGGAAATCACATCAGATGACAAAATGGTAGACAGTCATACAATACTGGGAAACATGACCTAGTCAAGTTGACAGACATTTTTGGGGGACATAATTCAATCCAAGACAGTCACCATCCATCTGAAGATTTATCAAAAATTATCTCAAACATCAGAATCAGAAAATAAAAAACCAGGAAATCTTTACCATAGCTAAAATAAATTGTTTCTTGTCAACAGCATAAATCATATACCTAATTTCCATTATTACTATGTCAGTAAGATCAGAGACAATCTTACAGTTGAAAGTTCATTACTGTGTAAGGCCACATGACTCACATAAATCTAAATTCCAAACTTGACTTGGAGTTGATATTCCCTTCTCTATTTTCTCTCATCTTAGTTTTTATTTATTTATATTTGTCTGTCTTACTATGTGGATTACTAGAGGCCTTCTAAAATCTACTGGAAAAAAAGAAAGGAACAAATAATAACTCACCGGGGACATGGTCATTTCTGGCTCTTCTGGGAAAGAGGCAGAGAGATCTGAGAAAACAGATGGGCAGGGGGACAAATGAGAAAAGAGAGTGTGCAAATGTCACACACTGACGCATACATCATTTGGTGCTCATGAACTTCTGACCTGAAAATTTATTTCTAGAACTATATCATAAAAAAATCATCCAAGGACATTATAAAGTCATAAAAGGGTAAATTAATTCAGAAGATTTAACAGTCATGAATATATATGCAGTCAATATTGGCGCACCTAACTAACAGTGATAGAACTGAAGAGAGAAAGAGATAGCACTACAATAATACACACACACTTCAATACACCACTTTCAACAGTAGACAGGGCATCTAGAAGGAAGACAAAGAAACAGAGGACCTGAATGACACTATCAACTAAACTTAATGACATATACAGAACATTCCACCCAACAACAGCACAATATACATTCTACTCCAGTGCACATGGATCATTCTCCAGCATAGATGACAAGTCACAAAGCAAGTATTGATAAATTTTAAAAGATTGAGATAATACAAAGCATTTTCTCTGACACAATGGAGTGATGCTAGAAATCAATGACAGAAAGAAAAACAAAACCTGGAAAATACACAAACATATGGAAATTAAACAACACACCATTAACCTACCAGTGTGTCAAGGAAGAAATCACAAATTTCTTAGAGTCAGATGAAAATGAAAGCACAATATACCAAAACCTATGGGATGCAGCAAAGGCAGTATTCACAGGGAATCTTACAGCAATACATGCCTAAAGGAAAAAAGAAGACCTCAAATCAACAGCCTAACTCTACAACATGAGAAACTAGAAAAAGAAAAGCAAACTAAGCCACGCCTACCCACAATAAAGGAAATAACAAAGATCAGAGCAGAAATAAAATAAAAAACAGAGAAACAATAGACAGAATCAATAAAACCAGAGCTGATTCTGTGAATAGGTCAAAAAAAATTGACAGATGTTTAGCTAGAATGACAGAGAAAAAAGGAGAAAAGATGCAAATAATCAAAATAAGAAATTAAAGAGGAAACATTACAATTGACCTGACAGAAATAAACAGAATTATGACAAAGTATTATGAACAACCAAACAGTAACAAACTTGATAACCTAGATGAAAAGAACAAATTCTTAGAAAAACACAATCTAGACAAACTAACTCCAAAGGTAACAGACATCGATACTGTTTAAACTTTCCAAAAGACAGAGATGGAATGAATACTCCCCAATTCATTCTATGAAGCAAACATAACACTGATACCAAAACAAGACAACACAAGAAAAGAAAACTACAGGCCAACATCCCTTCCGAATTTTAGATGCAAGAATCCTCAACAAAATACTAGGGAACAGAATCCAAAAGCATGTTAAAAGAGTCATAAATCATGACCAAGAGGGACTTATTCCAGGAATGCAGGGATGATTCAACATTAGAAAATCAATCATTGTAATACATCACATAAATAGAGCAAAGGAAAAGAACCACACAACCATCTCTATGGACGCAGGAAAAGCATTTGATAAAATCCAACACCCTATCTTGAAGAAGACTCTTAAGAAAACTGGAGTAGAAGGGAAGTTCCTCAATATGATTCAGGGCATATATGAAAAACCAACAGCCAACATTATACTAAATGGAGAAGGATTGAGAGCTTTCCCCTTGAAACAGGAAACAAGACGGGGTGCCCACTGTCGCCACTTCTACTCAATATTGTATTAGAAGTTCTAGCCAGAGCAATAATACAAGAAAAAGAAACCAAAAGTATTCAGATTGGAAAAGGGACCAGAGGGGAAGCAACAGTTAAGTGCTCAGCTGCTAAAAGAAAAGCTGGCAGTTCAAACTCACCCAGCATCTCTCCACTGGAGAAAAACCTGGTTATCTGCTCCCATAAAGATTAAAGAGCCAAGTAAACCCTATGGGGCAGTTCTACTCTGTCATATGGGGTCAGAATGAGTCAAAATCAAGTCAATAGCACCTATCAGCAACAAGAAGATTGGAAAAGAAATAAAATTATCTGTATTCACGGACGACATGACTCTTTATATAGAAAAATCCCTAAGATTCTGTAAGAAAGCTTCTAGAGCTAATAGAGGAATTTAGCAAAGTTGCAGGGTACAAGGTCAACAAACAAAAATCATTTGGGTTTCTATACACTAGCAATGAGAAATCTAAAGGGCAAATTAGGGAAAAAGATTACATGGACAATAGGATGTAAGAGAATAAAATACCTAAGAATAAATTTACCCAAGCATGTGAAAGACTTATAACAATGAAAATTATAAAACACTGCTGAATGAGATTAAAGAAGACATAAAGAAATGGAAAGATGTTCCATGTTCATGCATTGAAAGAGTAATATTGTTAAAATATCAATATTACCCAAAGTGACCTAAAGATTCAATGCAATCCCAATCAAAACTCCAACAGCCTTCTTCACAGAAATGGAAAAGCCTACCCTCAACTTTATATGGAATGGCAAGAGGCCCCAAATAGCTAAAACAATTTTGAGGGAGAACAAAGTAGGAAGACTCACACTTCCTGATTTAAAAAAAAAAAAAAAAAAATTATACAGCTATACTAAGCAACACAGCCTGGTACTAGTCTACTTGTAAACACATAGACTAGTAGAATACAATTGAGAGTCCAGAAATAAACCCACACATCTATGGACAACCGATTTTTGACAAAGAGTGCTAAGTCCATTCAATGGGGAAAGAAAAGTCTCTTCAATAAATGTGTTGGGAAAATTGTGTCTCCACATGCATTAAAATGAAACACAGAAATGCTTTTACACCGCGAGAAGGCGGGGAGGGGGACGTGGGGCAAAATGCGCAGCCCTGTGGAGTCCTCAGGACCCCAACGGGTGAGGAAAGTGACACTCAATAATCCCAAAGTCTCCAGGGCTCGCGCGGCGGCACCAATCTTTATGCCAAGCAGCAGCCTGTGGGGTGGGCACCTCTCTCCTGGGTTTCTGCCACTGTGGGGTGCAAGAAGGCAGAGTCGGGAAGCGTGTGGAGAAAGGAGACTGAGGAGCAGGAAGGGGGCTGAGCCAGGATAAGGGTCAGTGACCAGAGGGAAAAGTCCTGGATATCACCAATTCCAGAAAATGGATTAAACCTTGTCTCTTCAATATTCATCACTATGGGAGGGCGGGGCAAGACGGCAAGTGAGTGGACGCTCCCATTTACTCCCCCAGCAACTAACTTACTGAACAATGAATGAAAACAGGCATAGACTGGTATCTCAGAACTCCGGGCAACAGCTGATGTATAGGAGAGTCGGGATGAGTCCAGAAGCGGGGAAAAGGAGGAACGGGGGTCGGCAAAGAAGCTGAGAGATCCCACACAGTAACATCGAGACAGCTTGCTCATCACCACCATTTTGGGACAGGGCTGGGTAACACCCAAGCAGGGAACACACAAAAGATGCAAATCTGAGGATTTTTTTTTTTTTTAAGGCTGCGCAAATTGGCCTTAAGAGTTCGTAGGCCGCGAACGTTGGGAGCGGCCAAAGGGAGAACATGGTGCTACGTGAGTGCTTTTGGGTCTCTGGGTCCCGCAGAGGACTGGAACAGACCAGCACTAAGACCCGGAGAATCAGCAAGGGCACCGGGACAAGAGGAGTACAGCAGACTGACCAGCACACAGGGGGCAGACCTCAGAGGGAAACTGTGTGTGCCTGTACAGGACTGCCGGAGAGAGAAAGACAAAGAGAATCCCCAACCATCCCACAGGAAAGTCTACCCTCACCGCTTACGTCAGTATCTGCGATCGTCTAAACCCCCTCCTGGGCATGCCGATTCAAATCCAGAAACCAAGAATCCAGAACTCCTGGACCAGCCCTGAAAAAAAAACTAAGGATGAGAATGCCATCTAGTGGTTATCAGGAGACGATACCAAACCTGCTGCGGCTGCGTCAGTCTGACTCCTGGCGAAACTGCGGGGCTGAGAGTACCTCCCTCATGAGATTCCTGGGCTGTATTTGAGAAAGGGGTTGGCCTCATCTTTCTCCTGCAGAGCAACTGGTGGGTGCAGGCCCGGGGCCTTTTGGTTGGCAGCTGGACACTTGGCTACTGCATCAACAAGGCACCCAAGCGGAACATTTTCCAATAATAAAAATAAAAAATTAAAGCAAATAAATAATAATGACAAAATGGCTCAAGTTCAACTACCATATGAACCAGTAGACTAGAACCAACAGAACTACCGTATGACCCAGCAATTCCACTCCTGGATATATACACGGAAGTCTGGAAAGCAGAGACTCAAAAAAAGACTTGTACACCAATTTTCACTGCAGCACTATTTACAATAGCCAAAAGGTGGAAACAACCTGAGGTACCATAGATCACTTTTGTGTGGCCTTTCTAGCCATGGTCTTGTAACTCTCACCCAAGTGATTGGGGGGGACTATGTGATAGGGTAATTGTGACCCACCAAAGGGATTGGTCAGTTTTGCCATCCTGCTGGGCTTGAAATGAGCCAACTCAGGCGGGAAAGAGAAGATCCATCACCACCACGGAAGAACAGCCAGGAACAAGTATGTCATTTGGACCCAGGATCCCTGCGCTGAGAATCTCCTGAAACCAGGAGACAGACAGAAAGAGCTGGCAACACTGAAGACAGTGAGAAGTGGCAGCAGAGACCCCACAGCAGGAGACAGCATGGTGGGCTTCCAGGCCCATGGAGAAAGTTGAGTCCTTTGGACAGAGGCGAAGGGCCAGGGAGAGGCATGCCTGCAAGCACGGCTGGGAAGAGGCCATCCTGATAGAAGAACTGTATCCTGAGTGTTCCTGAGCCTGAATTGTAACTGTTACTTCCCTAATAAACCCCATAATCACAAGTATTGTCTGTGAGCTCTCTGTGGCCATTGGAATGAATTATTGAACCCAGCAGAGAAGTAGAGAGTGCTGTGGGAGGGATGGTTGTTGTCAGAATTTGTAAAGATGGTGGAGAGAGGAGGCATATCTGACCTCCATCTCATAGGTATCAGCCATGAGCTGTTGATCTTGAT